AGAAATAAGACAGCAGGTTTTACTGATTCCACTGCATGGCCATTACATGGACAAGCCCTCAAGGAGAGAAGGCCAACATCCTATCTTCTCCCAAACATTTGAGAGAGCAGCACATTAAATGAAACAATGTAAAGGCCCCAAAAGATTCAACTACATGCAAATTACTCAAATGGGCAGCTAACTGGAAAAGGTTTTAATATAGAATATTGAAGGACAAGGGGACTGAGCAGCACAAGCCAAGCAGAAACATCTGGACAGGAAATGCCCCAACGTCTTTGATTGATTAGCGCTATTGCAGAATCAAACCACATTTAAGGAAGGAGAGATGGTGGTCCACTACAGAAAGCTCTCTGAGCCACCCACTTCTTCCAAGCACTTTTGCAACTATCAACTGGATGACAGAAGAGCAAGCCCTGAGTCACACATTAAAGCTGCCACCCAAGCTCACTTGCCCTGCTTCCATTAATTCAATAGCATTGGAACACATCTGGAAACCTGAACCCTCCATGGCACTAGTCAATAACTGAGAAACAAATGGGTCCAGAAGTCACCCTTTCATCTTCAAGGGTTGTTCTCTACATCCCTAACAGGGACTCTGTAGTGGTAAGGGAAAGACACTCGGCTGTAGAGGAACTGTTCAGCTGTTGGGGTGTGTCAGACTGAGCCCTGACACGGGCAGCAGAGGTAACGGTTGTTCCTTGCTGCATCTTGAACTGAATTGAATCCTTTCTCCCAAATCACTTGCCAAAATGCCTGTGTGAACTTCAGTGCTCACAGCTGCACCTCAGAGCAATTGGTTGCCATTTCCACTGTCACAGCATGTTGCATTTAAAACAAGCAAGCAAACAAGCAAACTGTTTTGTCTGCGCCAAATGGTAGCAAAAATCCATGGTAAGAGTCCAATACCAATCATTGCGGCCACTTCCATCAATGAACTGCCTCCTTCCTTCCATTTGTAATCAGTCTGTTTCCTCTTGATGGGATTCCTTATGGCTGTTTTCCATTCCATGGTTAACACATGTCATTTTACCAGCATTTAAGACTGGCATAAAATAAAAAGTGAAATCTGGTGTGTTGCCCATTCGACCCTGTAGTGTCTCCCAACTCAAGGCATCTAACATACTGGAAGACTGAACATACTGAAGGCGGGACCCTTCAGTCCTGCCCTTCAACTGACACCAATGCTTAGTGCCACTGCCACTCCCGTGGCCTCCATTATTTCCAGCTATGGAAAGTTCAGCTCCTCTTGTTAGCTTCCACCTTCTGGAGGAACATAGGAATAGCTGCTGTATACAGATCTGGTTTGCACAATCAGAGTGGGTGACATAAGCCACAATGGCTTATTTCCACTGCTGTGAGCCAGCTCCATCAGTCAGACCACCAGTCCCTCTAGCCCAGTATCATCTACATGGGCTACCAGCTGTTCTTTGGGCTTTTAGGAAGGATTTCTTCACAGCCCGACATTGAGGTGCCAGAGACAAACTGTGGGATGTTCTGTATGCAAGGTGTGAGCCCGAGTGCGGAGCTCCCGCCTCATCGAGAGTCAGGAGGGGCAGAAGTAGTAAACAGAGGCAGCAGGAGAACTTCTGCTGTCTTGTTCTTATTTTTGGTACTGTATGTCCTTAGCATGGCCACTACCTTGCAGGCCACTTTGAGGGTTGAAAGATGGGATGCTACAGCTTTACAGATCAAAAGAAATGGATCTTTCTGTGCTGTGTCTCCCAGTTTGAGTTTGGATGCAGGCATTCAGCCTGTTTTACACTCAGACAGAGAACTAACCCACAGCATCGACTCAGCTGCCAGGCTCTTCTGGTAACATTATCAATTGTTTTAAAATACTCTTATTAAGGTGGTGAAGGACAAATTCAAAAATGGAGAATGCCCAGGAGGCTGCCACTTCTCAACTTATTTTAAATGTTGCAGATCAGGACACTGGAGCAAAGAACTGGAATTGAGAAGCGGTGTGTTAGAGTCTTTTCAACAACCAACTATTCTCAGCAAGATTGCTTTGTCACTTTGATATCATTGTTTCCTCCTGGGTTTTTCTTTTTTTCTTTTTTTTAAACCCTTCTACTTTTGCCTCTCAAAGCTGCCATTTACTAGCCCGACTGCAAGGAAAGCAGAATAACATCAATCTTGTCAAGCCCCATGCCGTCAGAAGGCTTCTTATAATGATAATGTGCATGCCTGGAGTTTTTAGTTACTGTCCATCAAATCTGAAGTTCAGGAGGAGGTAATGGGAAAACGTAAAGAACAAGAATGGGCCGCCACAGACAACATCACAGATTGTAGGCTTCCCAGTGGGTCATCATTTCCAGACGCCAACGTGTTCACCTCCTGCTTTGTCTGGTTTTAAGTTGCTGATGCTGACCAAGTGAGACAGCAGGCTGCATTTTCACACTCCAACTAACGCTGAGTAAAAGGTGAGAGAGATTCACAGCCATTGCAGCAGGAATTGCAACTACCAAGAGGCCAGAGTTCACAGGAAGATAATATGCTTTGCATGCAGAAGATCATGTGCAGCTTCCTAAAGCTTTAGTGAAAGCATCCATTCAGATGTGCTGGATTAAAGCTCCTGACTATACCTGTTTTGGGAGTTGTAGGCCAGCACATCTGAAGGGCATCAGGCTTGGGGAATGCTGAGTTAGAGAATCTCGGCTAACAGGGCTAGGAAGGACGAGAATCAGGCTAACAACTGGCCTAGACGGGCCAGTGGCTTTTCTTGCTATAAGCATCTTCCTGAGGTTGCGTATTTTCTGCAATTATAGTTTCCATGGCAGCACTACATGGAATGAATGTGTGTTCATTTCATTTCAAGTCAGAAGCTGCCTTCATAGAAAGGGGAGATATAAATATTTAAAATCAATACATAAAACAAATCATGTCATTAAGTAATGAGGCTCAGAATAGTAAACACCAGGCCTGCAAAATTGAAAACAAGTAAACAAAATTGAGAAGCATGATTAATTGGGAACAGTGGAACACACAGAATCAGGATTTGATCTTGACTTGATCCCCAAGTTTCTGATTTATTTTTCAGCATGTCCAAGAATTATTATTATATCAGAACAAAAGGAGTAGAAAAAAACTTTTCATGTGATGCATGCCTCCAAAATCAAGTGTCATATAATTGCTTTTTCACTGTGCATTCTTAAATCTTACAATGTGATCTCCCAAAGGGCTTATATGATCCTCACCCCCACTTTCATGGCCCATTGGTGCCAAGTTTCAGTGACAAAGTGAAAGCTTTTTCCCATGGTGCTAGTTATGCCGTGCCAGCACTGCTTCACACTATGTGATGATCGTGAGCACTGAGACATCACTGGATATTATCTATTTAGACTAAGACTTCAGGTTGGGCTTACAGGCTTCCGTGAGATGCCCAGTTGGTACTGTGAGGCCAGGATGCTAGACTGGACAGGGCTTTGGTGTGATGTAGCTGACTTTTCTAAGGAAGACATGTTTATCTCTGCCGTATAATACTAAAATGCAGGGCCATCCCACTGCACTGATTACACTGGGAGGATAAAGCTACCAATGGCTATTAGTTCTGATGGCTACGGGGTAGTACAGAAAAGTAATCAATAGATGTTGCCTCCAGTAGCAAAAGCAGCATACCTGTGTACACCAGTTTTTGGGGAGCATGGACAGATGGATGCCTGCACATCCTCCTTGTGGGTTTCCCCTTGGGCAGGTGTTTGGCCACTGTATGGACACAGGAATGGATGGGCCTTGGTCTGATCCAGCAGTTTTTTATATGTTCTTATGTAATGCAATGCCACAAAATCCACTTCCATTTGTAGTCATTGCATACAATCCAGTAACGTAAGTTACAGCTACAGGCACCATTAAAATCAAGGAACCAATGGGACTTTGAAGGAAGAGAAGGAACTTTGAGGGTGGGGGGCTGGTAACAAAGGCAGTCAATTTGTAGGCAGTTGGCTTGTGTACACTGGGACTTGTAGGATTGTACACATTCATACAATTGCACCTTAAACCATTTTCAGATGTTACTTAAGACCTTCATTCGCAGAATCATAGAATCATTTGGAAAGGGCCAGGGAGCGAGTGGGTCCAACCCCCTTATCAGTGCAGGACACCACACTAAAGCATCCCTCAGATGGCTGTCCAGTTGCGTCTTCAGTGCCCCAGGGTGGGAGAAGCCACAACCTCTTTAGGTAATTAATTTTATGGGAATGGTGGGAGGCTTTTCCCAGTACTGAACAGGATGACTGTGGGGAGGTTGTCCCCATGCTGCTGCTCTCCACCCACCCACCCTCCCATAATGCTCAGATAAATGGCATTGGGGTTTATTGAAAGTCACCAACTGGAAAGTCAGGAAAACAGAGCCGAAACCACAGAGAGGGGGAAGATCGAGGCATTCACAAATGCTGTCTATAATATTCTAGCAGTGGCCTATTCAGAGCAGCACAAAATGGAAGAATGCAATCCAATGTCCTCATGTTCTTTTGCTCACAGGAATGAAAAGTAGACAATTGAGGAATAACATATCAGAGGAAATGCACTGCCAGATGCATTTTGAACCACTAAATGTCAGTGTGAAACATAAGCTACGGATCTTTCGCTAAAGGAAGTTCATGCATCTTCACTTTTTCAGCAGCTGTTACTTGGCCCAGAAATGTTCTCATAACAGAAATTACTTCTGTTTTGGAAACTCTACAATAAGTTATTTGCACTAGAGTTAATTGAATGGAAGATCTGTTCATTCTCCACATTAAGTGGATTGAATTTGAAACTTTGGGTTTGATACCATGCTGTTGGTATTGATGCATTTCCCTACAGCACTGGACATCTGTCAAGTCATGTGACATGCCTTTAAAAATAGTGTGTGGGGAGTGCTACTAGAAATAAAAATGACCAACATTTGTATCTGCAAGTTCAGACCCATAAGAGCAGGAAAGAGCCATCACCAATATTATACAGCCAAGACTTCCCCATATCCAGGACACTAGAAGCTTAAATGTCTTAGATACATCTACCTTAATGAAATTTCTGGGTGAGCTGTTGTGATCAGCCAGCTAGGAGGGAAGAAGAGAACATTATTCAACTCTGAGCACAGTGAAAAACAAAGCAACATTTAAAATGTATAAATTGCGTCCTAAATTTACAAGGACTTCCCAGATATATATGGATGTCTGAAGGTGAAAGAAAAGATCTCAGAATTACTTATGGATGTCTAAAAAAGATGAAATTGCAGGAATGGATGGGCAGAACTTCTTTCCACAAGAAAGAAAATGTGTAGAAGATATCAATTAATATAAGATTAGCATAGGGAAAAATATTGAAATGTCATAGGTTTCAGTAGTCAACAGCCCAGCTTTTAGCTATGCAAAAAGAAGGGTTTAGTTTGGGAGAAGTGTAGCGCCAGATGCTGTTTGGATGAAGTAGAGCAAATTGGATGGAATTCATAATTGACAGCAGAGAGATAATGCTACAGGGGAAGTATGATGAATAGCAGGGGATCGTTAATAAGCAGTTTCGCTTGACAATTTCGGGATGCAAAATTAACAATTGTAAAAATATTTATCATCAGCATCTCTGTGGGCAGAAGCAGCAAAATCTACCATGTGGCACTGTGAGGCTTTGTGTTCTACAAGCACAAAGACATTGTGCTGAAATAAACCACATCATTAATATTCTAAAAATAATGCCTTTTCTTTTCTTCCCAAAAAAGGAAAGGCAACCGGATGTTTGCTTTTAAATCAGGGACAGAGGAAAAGCAGTTGTCGTTGTCAGCATCTTGCACTATGTAAAAATACGTGCCCAAATTGGACATAGAATTACAGAATCTCATCCACAAGCCAACCATGTGTGTGAAACACAAAGAAACCTTCTCTCTCTGGCTGGGCATTCCAGGGTCTGCAGCTAAACCCATCCTCTATGGACCTCTTTTTCTCCATGGAACTGCAATGGGAAATATCATGTGCCGCTGCCTCCTACTGTGACCCTGGAAAAGGGTCTGCATGTGCCCACCACAGCACTATGTCCAAGAGACATGAACTGAACGGCATGTACAATCATGAACAGGAAGTGTATGTGAGTCTGACTGTCCGTCTGTCAGCACCAAGAACCTAAAACCTAGACATGTGAAACAAAGCATGTATAGTAAATTGAGCCTAGGGTTGTATTCCCTGGGTTATCTTGCCTTTCAAAATTAATTCATTTTAATTAATTCCAATATGACTATGTGGTTCAAACCTTTCAACTCCTATGGGTAGAAGGACATAGCTTTGTGGATCATTCGGTTTGAAGGCACAGGAGATTAATGAGCCAGTGGACAAAACTACATGCCGGCCTTCTTTCACCACCTCTGGGGTTGAACCCCTTAAGGGAATGGACTGGGAAAATCCCCCCTGAGAGAGCTGTGGGGGTTCACGACAGCAAAGGCCGTATCTTTGGATGCAAACTGAAATGGCTTCCCTTAGATGCTGGACACAATTTGACAGCAGTGCAAGTTTGCATGAAGGCCTTTCAGCATCCAACTGAGGGCTCTTCCAACCACTGCAAAGCCAGGCCTATTTGCTTGTTTATATATTTATTATGACACTGATACAATATATAGCCCTTTTTCCAAAGAGTTCAGATAGGCATTTTAGCTTAATGATAGCTCTCAGACTAGCAAGGTTTTGTATGTTTCCCCACAACATACTGTGTTGCTAGCTTAATGAAAACCATTGTGGCCTAGTGGTTAGAACGTTGGACGGGGGCCTGTAGGATTCAAGTTCTAAGTCCCCACTCAGCCATGGAGCCAACTGGGTGACTTTGGCTCAGTCACTCACTCTTGGCCTGACCTACCTCACAAAGTGGTTGTGAGGATGAAATGGAGCAAAGGAAGACAATGTAAGCCACTTTAGGTTCCTCACAAGAGTAAAAAAATAATATAAAATAATAATAGAAGAATATAAATGCAATGATGATGATGTTGTTGTTTGCAGATATGAAGAATCAGAATGCACAGGGAACCTGTTGATAGCATTTTTCCTATTGGTAAGCATGACCCCTGAAAATGCCCATGAACTTGGTGGTCTAGCTGAACAATATAGGTCATCTTTCAACCAGTGAACTTGCAGAAAAGTGTAAATTACTGTAACATAAACAGAGTACTGCTTTTTGCTATGATGTTCTGGAAACATTCACAGACTTTATGGCTGTGGAGATCTGCTTGAATGGGAGTGAGATTCAGGCATGTCGAGACTGAAATCCAAAATTTCATCTCAGATCTCTGAAACTTCACCTCAGGATCCAAAGAAGTGGGCCAAGATTTCTGGGGGCTGGGAAAGAAGCATAGTCTCCTGCTGTCAACACTGGACTTTGGAACCCATGTATCCACATGCTGCTATCCCATATGGTGAACTAGGGGGGCACAGGTTGGAGAGAGCACTGCCCAGGAGTGGGTTCTCAACGGACTCTATCCTATCCGGCCCGTTGCTTTCCTTTTCCCAACTCTCAGGGCCTTGGAAACGTTCAGGTCAGGATGGCTCTTGTCTGAGAAAAAGAAATCTCTGCTTGGCAGGACTCAAAGCTTGTGACCCCTGGCCCCATGATGGCTGGTTTTTGCTCAGAGACCACCTATAGTCCACCTATGGCAGCTGAAGAGTCCCTGTGGTCCACAAAAGTAAACCAACTGAGGCAAATGACTGGGGGAAATAAGCCAAGAAAAACACTGAATAAGCTAAGAAAGGTTTACTAAAAATAATGAGTTACACTGGTATGTCTTCTTCTTTCTGATCTCCGTAAGCCACCCTAGGAGGTTTCTTTGCAGGCTACCTTGAATGAATGAATGAATGAATGAATGAATGAATGAGTCCAATTTGCATACTCTATACAGGTTGCTGAATTTGGATTCTGTGGCGCCAGGCTCTGGCCCAACCAACCTTTTTGGAGGAGAAAAGTTGTGATTCCATGGTTAATGCTGCTCCTGCAGTATGCATGGAGCAATCAGTCCTGTGGAACTCCTTCAAAGATGTTCTGACAGGTTCCCAAATCTCCTCTGTTGGCCTACAGCTCTCTAGAGTATAGATGGCAGCAGACCAGTCCCAACCTAGCCACGAGGAGACCTATTTATCCAGGGTCTCCTCAGGGGCAATGGTCTACTCAGGACAGGGGAAAGGATCCAGCTAGAGCAGCTGAATCAAATATATAAACACCTCATCTCCTCCCAGATCTTGCCAGGTTAATAGCTCCCACTGAGCCAGTATGGTTATGTATATCAGTTGCTTCAGAAAACAATCAAGAAGGTGCACTTGTGTTCTCGTGGGTTTTGCACAGACATAAGAATATATGGAAGGCCCTGCTGGATTGAACCAAAGGGCCATCTAGCCCGGCATTCCATACACATGGTAGCAAAACAACTGCCCGCAGGGTGCCTCAAGCAGGATGGGTGCAAGCCCTGCTCCTGCCCCACTGGTGTCTGCAGGCATGCCACCTCCGATGAAGGCTCTGGTTGGCCACTGGGTGAACAAAGTCCTGTGTGAGATGGAACCTTGTCAGCTGCACCACAATCCTAGCAAGACACTGAGGCGCAGCTTTTTCTACAATTATGCCTAGGTCTGAAAATGGAATGGCACAACAGCTCCAGCTGCAAGCTAACTAGTATTTTACTTTGCTGGATTCTAAGGAGGGGCCAGCAGTAGGAAATATGTATTTCTCCCCCCCCCCCCCGCCACACACTATGAGTCACTTGTTCTCCAGTTCAAAATTGTCCTCATCTTGTTGTACATTAAATAATAACAATTTCCGCCCCCACAAACAGGAGGGGACTGGGGGAAATAAGGAGAGATTTGCAATTTCATGTTACTTGTGGGGGAAGATATGCATGGCTCCTTGAGGAAATAATTGGCACATTACAAGTACAGGCGGGAATGGGGTCTTTGGGGGAAGGAGGGAGGGGAAGTTCATGTTGATCACTGATTAAAGGTCTGCATTGAAGACAGACGTGGGAGCCACAAGTGGCTATCTAGCTGGAAGCAGAAGAAATAATCCGGTTGCTGCTGCAGAAAAAGGGGGGGAAAGGCTTTCATCTCCTAAAACCTGGCAAATAACTGTACATGATCTCAGGAAATGAATTCCTGGAGATTTGTCCCTGACAGACTGTATGAAAAGGAAGACAAAGTCACAGATAAACATGGGATACTGTTTTAGAGGGCAGAGTTGTGAAAAGTCAGAAATGACCTGACAGGGCATAACAACAAGAACTTATCCTCTTTGTGATTAAAGGTTATACGATAATCCTTTGTGCATCTGATGAATTGGATTCTAGCCCAGCCCCGAATATGTTTGCTAGCTTTTAAAGTGCTGCAAGACCTGTTCTGTTTCTGTAAGAGATGCATATGGCTGGGAGCCTGCATGCTTGCATGACTAGATGCAACACTCAATATGTGGACGAGTCAATGCTTGCAAGTGTGCCACACTGGCAAGAAAGCAACAGGTGGAAAGCTGAACACGATGCTTCAGAGGCAAAACAGCACCTGCTCAGCCTGAGACCAAATGCATGCAAATCTAAACTCCACGTTCATGCATCTGTGAAAGGCACCTTGATACAAGGCACGGCACCACCAAGCAGCTCAAAGCATTGATGGAAACCATGTCATGATCTCAGTAACAAATATCCTGTCACTCGTCCACCTAGTTGACCCACCAATGAAATAACTGTGCACCCAACTGAAGTCTGGTGGTTGGTTGTTTTTTCTTCCCAGGGCCAGAGGTAACCAATGAATGTTGCTCCTGACCCGGAAAATCCTCCGGGCAGACTGAATCTGAATTGAGAATGAGAAACCTGTTGGTATCATGAGAGACGGTCCCATGCAGGCAAAGTGATCTCAAAGCTAAGCCCATAAAACCTGAAGTGAAAATGTATGCTGTTTAGAGGCAGTGCTGCACAAAACACAACAGTGATATTTCCAGAAGGATCAAAACTTAAATAGAATGGGAGAAGCCATCCATCTCAAATGACCTAGTGTGCATGATCACCGCACCCTCCCATGGTTGGTTTAAGCCACAGCATATAATGCCAAGTGCT